TCTATTACGCAGGTATTTCAATTTTCATTTCGTCCGGACCTGCTTTCATCTCATTTTTAAGAGATTCATCTCTTCCTTAACGGATCCTGGCCCAATTCATTCTCCGGATTCCTGCCCAACTTCATTGGTCTTCAACTTCATTCTTCTTTAGGCTTGGACATTTTCTTCTTTCTTCTTTAAATGTAGCAAAGGCTACCATGAATTGTTTTAACTGTTCTTCCATCGCTCTTGTGATTGGCATTCAAAATCCCACTTCTGACACCAAAAATTGTTGCGTGCGTACGGGTTCGTTATGAAATGAATGCACAAGTCCGATGAAAAATGAACAAAAATTTATTATTACACACAAAATGCTTAAATTTCTCAAATTATCATGCAGTATCACAATATCTCACAGTAGTTATCTTTTAACTACTTAAAATGTACAATAGAACGTAATTCAAACAGCTAAGAACGCTAATCCCGAATTCGCTATAATCAACAACGGCAGTTTTCTAAACAACAGCAAACTAAGCAACTACTACAAACTGAGATGTTTTCCCTCCTTTTAAGATTTTAAAATCACGCGCTAGAATTTTCCAGCACTTTCTCGAAATCAAAAAGAGATATTTATTTATTTAACGCACGCGCTCTTGTATTTTTAATTTTCCGGCTTAGCTTTCTTTTAATTATTAGTCACGCGCTGCACTGCACGAGAAATAAAACCATTTATTTATAATTGAACTAACATTAGCTTTTAAATACCAAATTCGCAACAATATATATATACATATATATATATAAACATCTAAATGAAAGCAACTGAAAGTAAGTTAAAAAGCCTATGACTTACGCTAAAGTATATGGAGAGTTTTTTATATAAATTATTATGAATTTTGAATGTTTTATGTTATATATATATATAATAATATAGATAGATAGATAGATAGATGTTTTATATTAGATATAGATATAGATAGATAGATAGATAGATATTTTAACCTTCAATTTGGTCTTCCAGTTCCTATACGTCTATTTGGGAAAGTTTTATACTCGCTATGGAAATATAAAAATATAAGAAGTTTGACTGAAGTACGACAAAATCTGACAGGGATATTTAATTTCAAAATATGCAATGTTTGATGCTATTTTCAACGTTTTTTAAGGATCGGTTAATTAAGTTAAAATAGTTAGAGGAAGTAAGTTTAAATGCATCTCATCAAAAAATGTAATATAATAAGCCATACATGGAAGTCAAGTGGTGTCCCCATCAAATTCTTTTTATGTAGTGTTGTATTCTTTTTCTATATTAAAGAAGGATCATTTCCAAATTTTCCTTTTTTTTATATTGATGTGTACAAAAAAATTCCAAATTTTGTAGTTAATGTAAGAATTAAGAGTGCTTAAATATCTTAAATGTTAATGAAAGAAACAGAAATTTTAATGTTTAAACTACTTTAAATCTGTGAAGATTGGAATATGTTAAAATGAAAAGGTGTAGTGACACAATGAATTAAATACGCTTGTTATAATGATTAATAAATAAACATGTTAACGTAAAAAAACACAAAAGTGTTCAATGCCCGAAAGAAAAATATATGTTTAACCTGGATCCAGTTATTCCAGTTAAAAGAATGCTTATTTAACCTAGAAAAAATAATACATGTGTTTATTATTAAATCTCGTGCGTATTTCTTTTATTCATATTTGGCGATTTACTTTGGCCACACTAACTGTTTGAACCTTATAGTTTTTACAAATTTGGAGACCTGCTTACTTATTTGAAAAACAATGCAATGTGAAATTTTGATTAGTAGGGGATACCAAGAAATTAGTGAACAATTATTGAATTATTATTACTTTCTGTAAACTGGTTTGATCGATCTTTATGTATGATATTTCTCGTCCTGTGTCGTTTCTCTGTTGGTGTCTTGTACATTTTGTGTTGATTTCAGTGAAATAGATAATCAATTTTTAAAAAGAGGAAATGAAATGAGTTGTTGAATTTCAGCTGGCGCAGAGAAATATATTTGTTTTCTAGGGTACCAGGGTAGAATGTTTTTCTCTTGATTTTCAGGTTTTAGATGTAAAGATCTTAAGCTTAAATTTTAATTTACGAAGTTATATAATTATTGATTTAATAGGTTTTTAGATCAATTGTTTAGACCCTCCTCACAGTATGGAAGAGTTAAAGTTTTTTCCTTTTATTGCGTGTTCGGCAACCAGTGCTAGAGTTAAGTTAGTCTAGCTTAAGTAAAAATTTTAAAATCTAAATTTATTTAATATAACAGCCTTATACTTTATAATCTCTCATCCAACAATTTTTAAGAATTGAAAAAATAATAAAATAAAATTTTCATTGTTAGTCATTTCAGAATAGTGTTGACAGACCGAACTTTTCTGTCCAAGACTCAGCTTAAGGTGTTGCGACAAGATGGAAATATCATACGTTACTCATTTATAAATATCCTTCAGGATTTACGACTTTTAGTGCTTATTTCACAAGTTTTTTAAGTCATGGGAAAATAAACTTGGCAACTTCACTGAATTTGGAGGCGGTATAATGTTATAAGGAAGACCTCTGAATTAGTTTACTTTACTAGTAACAATATTCTATGCGAAATATGCATAAACACATAGATTCAAGATATTCTTCTAATCTAAGACATGACTTTCATTCATGACTATCAATTATCATTAATTTATACTAATGTATTTTCTTATGAACAAAATCTTTTTAAATACGTAATTACCTTTACACAACATAACTGTTAACAACATATTTACAGAACGAATCAAAGAAAGATACAGAATACAAACCTTTCTTCATAAAATCCTCATTATATCACCTAATATTCCTTAATAATACACGTTTAATGAAGAATAACATCTTTTCAATACAAAATTCCGCACAAATAATGTTAAAGGTTTTCGTATTAAACATGTAAGTTTAAGGCAAGAATTTTCTGAGCATTTTCGGGGACTATAATTTAATGATGTTAAATACTTACTTCTTTCTAGATGTAAACTCCAAAGATATGTGATATATTCAGATATGCATATGTTAAATCAGAAAATACTAGTACAGAATATCCATCTTAGACCTATTTTCCTAACTTAATATTATGAATTAAATACGAAATAGTAATGCTTCGCTGTAAGATTTTAGAACATTTATTGTTTTCTCCAGATGCGGCTAGAACCTTGACCATCTTTTAAGTTGCCTAAATAAGTATTTCTGACTAGTTATAGAAATTATGCTACAGAAAACAATTATATTTGCTTATAGATGAGCCTTAACAAATTCTTTTCGACTTCAGATTTCTGTGAGTGGGAAAAACCAGAAATTCGCTTTTTCTAGTCTTATCAATATATACCTAAAAATCCTGAATCATTTTGTAATACTTATCAGCATTTCAAACAGAAAGTAAAGAAGGAATGAATTCACATTTCATCGATCAATTATAACGTTGCCTGGAAAATGATTAAAATGTTATTATCATAAAAGGAATTTTAAATGTCTTCGTAATACTTCTACTACACAGGCATTAAATTTTAGTGTATATGGCTATTATCAAAAAACTGTGCTTCGTATCATAGCTTTCTTCAATAAAAATAGAAGTAAATTGAAGATATTTTGTAAATTTGAAGCTATCACGTTTAATTTTTTATCCGTAATTATTAAATAATAAAATGTTTTCCAGTGACATAATTAATATTCATCAGCAACTTATGAAAATACATTTTGGTAGTATCACTTTCAATAGGTTTCTTTGCATTGATAGCGAATAAACCGGATTTTATTCCAGGAATACATGATATGGTGATGATTTAGGAAAAACAATTATGAGATGGGTAACTTTAACAGAAACCGCATTCAAATAATAAGCGTTTGAAAACTTTAATTCTTTTAATAACTTTTAATAATTCTTTTTAATAATAAGTCACAGAACAAATAAAGGCCATTTAAGCGACTATTACTTGGGCTTTATAATAAAGGAAAAATTGAAATATTGAATATTAAACCAAAATGAGATATAAAGAAATGAAATGAACAAATGCGGTTTGCAAAATAGCACAGAAGGACTGTCTCAACGAAGGACTGCTACGCATATATGCATGACCGAATGGATTAGAGCAGGGGTTCTCGACCGGTAGTACGCATACCACTGGTGGTACGCAAGGGAAAAATAGGTGGTACGCAAAGAAGCAAATTATTTTGAACTATTAAATTAAAAAATTAAAACCCCAACATACTGATTGAGTTTTTATTTATGCGATCCGAGCTTTGTTCAAGAGTGGTGGTGGTGGTAGTACTTTGTAGTGGTGGTACTAAAGGTTTTCAATTTTTGTTTAGATGGTACGCGTTAGTCAAAAGGTTGAGAACCGTTGGATTAGGGCATTATAAAGTGATTATTGTTATTATGTATTATGTAGCGCTGAGCATTATAAAGTAAATTCAATTTTAGCTGAGAATCGGGCTAGTGATTTTCTTTGCAAATAGCGTAAATATCAGACAATTTCCCTCAGAAAGTTTCCCAGGATGCCCCCCCCACCATTTAGGATTACAATTACGTGATTTGCCATAATCAGTTAATCAGCCATTTAATATTTCCTGAAACCTCCAACGTGTTTAAAAAAGCGCCTTAACTGCAAAACCAATGAAACGAAATACAACAAACTAGGTACGTACGTCTCTTTCTGGTGAAGACTCAAAATTAGAAAGCTAGCTGAAAAACGAAATACGTTTTTGAAAATCGCTCCGTCGGTAAGTAGTACTGTTTGTCCCCCGCCGATATAGAAATGTCATAATATTTTGAATTATTGCAACGATGATGATAATTAAAAGATAAAAAAGAGACGGAAAAGAAAATTTCACCGAAAAATAATCATCTCCTTGAACAAAACCTTGGTAAAACTTCAGATAACGTGATTTATTTCGTTTTCAAATTTTCGGCATCCGAAATGCTCGTTCCACCTTGCTGGCTGACTCACGTTATGAAAGCTAGAAGTTACGGTTTTCGAACACGCATAATGACGTCACGAGACATTGGAAACGCAATGGTATCATCCCAACTCTCACTTTTTAACAGTTCTTTTACTGGCACGTCAGTGGACGCTTGAACTCAAGTTTGCGCTGTTTTTTTTAAAAAAAAAAGAAAGAGAAAATGAAATTTATCTTATTTTGTTTGATATTTTCATGTACGTCGTATGGGAGATATTCTCTTTTGGCAATCAACTCAGCCCCAGGGCCAGTGAGTGCATATTTATTATATTTTAATTTCTTATAGAATTTGATTAATACGTAATTACTTGCATTTTATATAATTACGCATTAAACTAAATTGAAAAATATGAAATCCGCAGTTTAAGTTTCAGCAAAAGATTATTACATTCTGTCTCTCTCTCTTCATCTATCTTTCTATCTATCTATCTCTCTCTATATATTCAGTTTTAAGTTCGAAATATTCTACGTACTAGAGACGTTATACTCACAGTTTCTGAATATTTTAGTATTAGTTTATAACTGTGTTATTTTTAAGAAAATTATTTTGTATATTTTCGTTTATACACTATACTTAATTACGCTTTTTAATAACTACAATATTTATTATTTATAATATAAATTATTTTACATTTATTAAACTTCATTACCAAATATATCTACTGTTTCACAAGTAACGGAAATTTCTTTATCACATTCTTTATCATATCTTCTATCTTTATCACATTCTATTTCAGCAATGATTTTACGTTAAAATAAGAGCATTTTACTTTCGCAAAATAATATAAAAAAACAAATTTTTCTTGCATAGTATCATGCAATCAAATTATTTTTTATTTGTTTTTACACAAAAAGATTCACAATATGCATCATAAATAAGTTAAGTAGTTATCAAATGATTTTACATATCGTATGTATTTATACAGCATATTGTAAGCCAAAAATTCTTTATTTATAGCGGGATTTCATATAACGTTACCACGTTTGTTAGGTCTGTTTCTTAGAAAAGAAATGCTCGTAGTCCGTAGCTAAGGGATTCACGGAGTAAACAAAATAAAACTGCCGTGTATTGCTTTTGTCTTACTGTTTGTAGGTAAAGGCCAGTTTGCTTTCTCGTAATGCTTTCGAACATGAATCGAAAAGCATATAAATAAATGCTTCCATCAATGTATGTAACTGCTTTTCCATTTATGTCTGTAGAGTAAGTAAAGGTTGGCTGCTGCACATTTTTGGTCAGCTATTTATCACAAACACCCTTTCTAAATTAATATATCTTTAATAGTTACATATTACTCTGTATTTCCTTTCTTTATTATTTAAATGAACGAAAAGACTGAAAGTCCGTAAATAACTTAAAAGGCTCAGAAAGAACAAAGGATTCAGACACTTGCAGTTCCAGACATCTGTATTATCAAATAAAAATTTTAATGTTCTTTCGTTTTAGAAAACACCACTCAAAAAGGCTTCAGTACCAAAAAACTAAATTTAACAAAATATTATTGCAGTTGAAAAGACTAAGGCGTCAAATGTTATTTTGAAGATTTTAAGTGTTAACCAATGGTTACCACTCAAAACATATCGCGCGTTTCTGAAAGGGTATTACTAACATGAAAGTACGATGTGTAATTCCTGCCTCATTTACATAGAACCGTTTGCAAGACGAATATCCATGCTTGTCTTACTGAAGTAATGTCGAATGCCGATATTTGTGTTCTCAGAATTTCTCAGAATTCTCTATGATTTGAATACTGGTAATTTTAATAACTTTTTATGGAGACGGTCACCAGCAGAGGAGGTCTCGTAATATATAGTGCATATTATGTTGATTAAGAATCTAAATTTAATTAAGCAGTAAATGTATTGAATTAAAGAATCACACTCTTCATTTTAGTAAAACCTCATGATCAATGGCCGAGTAGTTAAAACGGCTGAACGCTGATAGGTCGACGCGGATTCTATCCTAAGTAAAATGGGCTCGTAGCATGATTGATTTTCGCGGTTTCCTTCACGTGCAAAGTAGATACAAGCCATTTTCCCTTAGGAACCTTTCCGTAAAGGCATCTTGACTCCCTAGGAGAATAGCTCTCATGTACATAAAATATATTCCTTTATATTTTATATTTTACCGTCGTTTTTTAATTGCAGTTTAATGTTTTTTGTTTTGTTTTGAGTATAGTAGGTAAATTAAATGTACTAAGCAGACTAAGGATTTTTCCTTCGGAGTGGAAGGCGAAGCTAATTTTAAGTTTTAGGAAAAACTTATTCTTATTTTTCTTTTCAGTTTTTACTATAATCTCTTGTTGATCCACCAGTGGTTGTTAAAACCGTTAAATACTGGTAGTTCGACCTGGCTTGGACTCAAACCAAGGCAAACAGATTGACTATATCATTGAGTTTTGTGGTTTTCCTTGTGTGTAACGTGAATATGAAGCAGATCTCCTCAGAATGTTCTCCACGATGGCATTCCCCTCCTCCTAGGCAGGCAATCCTTAGGGCTTTGCCACATTCGGATAACCTAATAAGCTCTTATTTTCTAAACCAAATTTTGACATTACACATGCAAGCCAAAAAGGAAAGAATTTTTTAGTTACGGCTTTTTCTACATGAAACGTGAGTACGAGACAATTTCCTTAGAACGTTCGCCATGAAGGATTTCCTCTTTCTTAATAAAGATGTTTTAGAACAGGTCAGGGGCAAATGTTTTGACCGAAGATCCAAATTACAAATTTAGATGGAAAACATCCCCAGACTGCAAATAAGATATTTTTAAATATAAATTCTTATTATTAGGAAAAGGTGAATTCTAACGTCAAAATAAATTAATTTTTAACAAACAACAATTTAATGAGAAGAATGATGGTATTTATATCTTTCACCTTTTTTTTTTTTTTTTTTTTTTTTTTTTTTTAATTTTAAGAATTTATTTTAAAGTGGTGGTTCCTAAAATTGCTTGTAAATGATCATCGATAATATTTGACAGTAAAACAACCTTTTTATTGAGATTTATGGTAGAAAATGTTTGTTCATACATGTAGGTTAATCTAAAAGTAGCCCGCATTTCTTAAACAAAATCCTTAGGTTGATTAAATTTTACTATTAAAAAATTTAATAATCCTTAGGTTTATTAAATTTATTAATTGTAAAAGTTTCAGATTTCTTCGTTACTGTGCAATTCTTTTAAATCAGTATCGAATTGCTAAGCTATAATGTCAATTTATACCTTACTGGATGCACTATTAGTTTCTATGTGGCTATGTGGCTTGTGGATTCAATGTGGATCATGAATTAACATTAAGTTTGTTCCTTTTTACAGAAATATCCTTCTCATGCAGAATGATCTACGATCTACGAAATTCTATCTTGATTTGAACTAAGCTAGAAGTTTTAAAATAGTTCACAAGCTGACGAATTCAATAATAAAAAATTAAATTAATTTACTTAAAGAGGCATGAAAGGCATCAAAAGAGAGAAAAGTAACCTATTAAAAGAATTTCGATAAGAAAAATGAAGAAAGGCCCAAAGATTTGTGGATTTAAATATCTCAATCTTATTCCGAAACTACATTTGCGTTCTTTTCACTATCATCATCTGGTTCACAAACACACACACACACACACACACACACACACACACACACACACACACACACAACAAAAAAAAAAAAAAAAATGCTTTAGTTCTGAAGCTTAAGTTACTACCGCAGTTTCTGTATTTTAACGAAACAATCTTAAACTAAATCAGAGAATAATCAAATTTTAAAAATAGGCAAAATTTCGAGGAAAAAAAATAATTTTATTTTTCTAAATTCAACTTTTAAACTAGAATTGCTTAGAATATCGAACTGATTGCTTGTGGGAAGAATAAGACAAAGAAGTTCAAGTTATGCCATTGTCTTGTCAAAATCCTGTCTGTAAATAAATTTTGAGCATTAAATGATTTCTGAGAAAATGTAAATATTAATGTAAATAAAGTGCTATCTCGAAATGACGTAACAAACAGAACTTCCCCTTGTACAGAAGAAAAGACTAAAATATATTATCAAAAAACTGAAACAAGCAGTTTAGGACTTCGAAAAAGGGATTTGATAAGTACAACAACGTAGTGTTCAGACGACGGATTATTAAAGTATGAATGCGTAAAATGTTCGAATTCTAAATTTTCCTGCTTTGTGATGGCGGACATTAAAGTGTCATTTACTATTAACCATTTCCGAATATATCCAATACCCATAAGTGATTTTGATTTTGACGCTGCTTAGAAAAGCAATTAAATGTTTCTTAATTTCCGCGTAAAATAATTGTATTCTAATTTTGATAAGATTCTTCTAATTATTTTTCCAAACAGTTAGTTATTTAAAATGCAAATTAACTGTATTTATGATACACTGTTGTCAGATTAGAGTTATTAGCAACTAAAAACTGTGAAAGTTTGTTTGCTTTCTATATCTCTCGTCTTGAATCGGATTAATAGGCTTCACGCCGCGCTATTAATATGCAGTGGTTTTTTTACAGACAGATTGCTCTGGAATTCTTGTCTGTAAGTTTTGTTCTTGTCTAAAAACGTCAACTAGCATTTGATTATATACTAGTTGAAAGGCTAATCTGCAAAGAGATGCATTTGCCACCAAGTACCTAATAACCGTTTATTATGGTTTTTATGCTACATCACGTGACAATGCTATAGCACATAAGTTAATTCGCAGCTGATATTCAAAAGTTTAATTTGAAGCTTCTCATATTAATACAGAGTGTTAAAACTGTAACTTCGCTTGATAATCTGAAGGCTACTCGTAATTTAGGATTTATATAACGACATCAAAATATCAGTTGTTAGATTCCTTCTGTAGTTAAGTTAATGACTCGTAAAACGATTGTAAAGGACAAACAAACATTTATTTAGAAATAAATCGTACTCGTTACTTAATAACCTACACGTAAAGTATTCGTAAACGTACATAACATAACATATGATCTTACTCCATCGCACCGATATTCATTTCAATCGTACATCATCTGAATATATTTTAAAATTATAAATAGAACGACATCCAGAAATTAGCTGTTGCCGTTTCTCAATAGCTGTTTTGTCTAATAACAATAAATAATTTACAATCGCGCTTACACAGTGCTGTTATTTGCTTCTTGCGAGAAATATATTTTATAATAATTAACACCTAGTTATTTTATTGGGTTTCCTTTACTTTTCTTCTTCTTTTGTCAAATCCCATCAAAATGCAAACTAGCTGCCTGC